TTACCAAATTTAAAATGAAAAATTAAAATTAAAAAATTATTATTATTATTATTATTATTATTATTATTATTAAATTTGTTTTAACCGTTTGGGTTACTAGCCTCGGGCCACTCTGGTAGCGTAGGTTTAAAAGGGGGAGTCTTAATTTGATTTTATTATTTTTTTTTTCGCTCCTATTCGACGAGGAACTATGTTGTGGCCCTCAACGAAACGTTGTTATATTGCAATTTTATATCAAAAAAAAATTATTTTTATTTTTTTTCCTTGCACTATGGCTGCTTGGAGGACCGGGCATCCGAGCGTGTATCTGGGCAGAAGTTGGGTGCACGCGCGAGCAGGAAAACAGTCTAGATAAAACATAAATAATAAGTCAATTAATTTAAAATTTTATTATAAAGTGTTAGGTTACCAACCGGGCCACCCAGGTCCCGAGTGGCCAGCCCGTGCAAGGATCAAGAAAGGTTAAAAAAAAAAAAAAACCATTAAAAAAAAAAACCTATGTGATGCAGAAAAATAAACTGAACAATTTTTGCTTCAGGATCACATCAGAAGTCCTTACCAAATTAATATATATATAATATACATTATTTTTATTTTTTTTTGCCCAGCCGAACAAGTGATCTGAGACCACTCTGGTAACCTAGATAAAGTGTATATTAAAGTTGAATTTGTTTTCAAACGTAAGGTAGTATTGTCAATAAATCAAATATTGTGTGTCAATTTTTATATATCCCCCCCCTCTCTTGTTTATAAGTTAGGTTTAAAAAAAAACAAAAAATAAGCTCATACTGACTATGGTTATTTTAATTACGCCATAAATAATTTAATCATATAAGAGTTCAATAAATGTGTCGAACATATGGTTCTATACAACGGTAAACGAATAAATATATTTAATTGCATATTTATTCTGTAACATACGATATGCGAGTCGGTAGTTAAATAAATATACATTTTTAAGGATGTTATTTATTTATCCAAAAATATAATTTTTCTCACCGACTTTATACTTTTGTAAGGTAAAAACGATAATACAATTAATGCATACTCTTATAGTATTTTTTTTTTAAACTCGTTTTCTCTAAAGTTATTGACATCACTCAAATGTGGTTTATCATCTCGGTATAATATGTTTTATCTCTGCCTATGACTTTTACAGCTTAACAAACTTGTAGTACTTAAAAATAAAATAAAGTTTAAAATTTTATATTAATCATGAGTGATAAATATGTAATTAACTATACTTCAAGTAGTGTTTTTCAAATGCACAAGGTATAACGATATTGCTTCTTAGCCCACAAGTTTTAAGGGTATGAGAATGTTAGATTAATACGTTTTGACATGCATAAAACAAATAGATGATACCGGTTATTAATGATTCAAAATGTCATCATGTACACATAAACCAAATAGATGATACCAATTAATGATGGTTGAAAATGTCAATGACATTCACGTGAATGATGCCCCTTTCACTTATAATTTTTTTAACAACTAATAATGACGATGTACTAAACTCTTTAAAAGTTGAAAGATAATGAATTTTTATCGGTTTACTAAAATGCAAAAAACTTTAATGATATTTGACTAAACATGTTGTTTTTAAAAATGAAAAGACACAACGTTGTTTTTTTTTTTAGTCGCAAGGCAAATCCAAGGAGTTGCATTGACATGCATAAACAAAGTTGATAATGCCAGTTATTGATGATAAAAATGTCATCATATACGCATAAACCAATTAGATGATACCAATTATGCATGATTCAAAATGTCATGACATGCAGATGAATGATTCCTGTTTCAATTACGATTGTGTTTAACAATTAATAATGACGATTTCCTAAAATTTTTGAAAACTGAAAAATCATGTGTTTTTCTTTGTTGACCACAATGCAAAAGACTTGAATGATATTTTACTGTACATGTTGTTTTTGAAAAGTAAAAGATGCAATGAATTTTTTTTTATAGTCGCGATAAAAAAATAAAGGAGTTGCATGTTGACGAAAAATGCGATGAAAGGTTGATGTGTAATAAAATATATAGTATCTTAAAATTGTTAGTCGTGAGGTAAATTCAAAGAGTTGTAGGGTTAAGAAAAATGTAACATAGAGTTGGTATAATAAAAAAATTACTTTTTAAAAATTATTAGGTTTTTGTTAAGCCCTCAAATCATTAGTATCTCCAAGCCTGCTTTTGTCGAGCATAAATTTCACTGCGCTCCGAGTTTTGTCGAGTTCGGGTCTCACTATATTTTCATTATAGTACTCTCACGAGAAGAAGAAAAAAAAAGAAAAAAAGTTGGAACCGTGGAACTCATAAAATAATGAAACTGGCGCAAGGAAACAAAACTCTGACCGTAATTTCAGTTGTATACATTCTTGGATGCGGTAGTGTGAATGTGCCCTCAGTGATGACCTTTCAACACCGTGGCCAGATTGTCATATTAAAAAACGCAAAACAATAAAAAAAATAAAAACATGGATTCGACTATGAAAATGGTTGGATACATTCCTCTACATGTCAGCGTGATCAGGGTTACAATCCTTTGAGGAAACACAACTTGAGCAGATCACGGATTTCGCCCTGCCTCATTGGCAGGGGACTCATAACAAACACATGAGAAAGAAAAAGAAAAAAAAAAACTTTCTACATGGGACCTCGTTTGCTGTAAGATGTATTTTGTAAAGGAAGACTGTGAGCACGGCCTCCTAGACTACCCTGTCGGACATCATTGCAATACAGAAAACATTTTTCCTTCCCCCTTTCCTTTCATGCGCGGGCAAAAGAAAACTAATGGCATACTCACACTAACGTTTTTTTTTGCTAAATGGCAAAATCTGCTATGCTGTTAGAGTCACACTAGGGTTTTCAGACCACCAAAATTGCAAACTGGGTAGCATTTGTCAGCGGCCTGGGGGGCCGCGGGGATGGGCATTTTGCCACCACCTCGAGAGGTGGTGGCAAATTCTCTTTTGGCCGTCGCAAATTCTCTTTAGCCTTTTGGGAATTGTTAAGAAAAAAATCCGCGCTTTGTGACCATGATAGGCAGCAATTTCGCAATTGCCAGAGAGTCCCGCTCGTGTCCTTTGTGATTTGCAACCCATGTGTGACCGGGCGGGGTACTATTTCAGCAAACACGGGAAAGAAAATTCAGCAGATTTTGCTAGATTGCCACCGCTGTGTGAGTACGCCCTAAGATTTGTGGGACTTGCCAACCCTGAGTCCCATCCCCGAATTCGTCGGGAACAGGCTAAAAACCGTAATTTTCCAACACTGACGCGTAGGCCCCTGCCATCCGATCTGAAAATCTCATGGTCATGCTGTAGCCACGTTGATTTTACAATACTCGGAAAGCTAATTTATCCTCCTGACACGGTAGTGGGAAATAGGCCAGAGGTCCCACTTACCCAGGTAGCTTGAATCTGACCATCTATTGCAAAGATACAGAACGGGAAACCAAGGCCCTAGGTGAGTTGGAACTCGATTCCGAAGTTCTTGAGTATTTCAATCTTTTAGAAATTCCATTCTCCTGGTAGTGGGACACAGCCCGGGGAAGTTCGGAGCGGTGTGTGTCGGCTTGGGCGCAAGGCGCTACTGGTAGCTTTTGAAGTTCGATCGTTCCAATACGCCCTACGGTGGGGCATTGCGATTTTTTGGCGCCCATTTTCGTCGCCACATTGAACGCAGCTCAAGCGTCTCGAAAATTTTCCGAGGGGACCCCGCGTTCTCGTTTTTTCAAATCTCGCGGGAATTCCGTCTGCGAATATCGACCCTTGCGCGTTCGCTCCGCTCTTCATAGGCGTTGGAAGGCATACACACCGAGGTTTTGAGAAGGGAATGCTTTGGGGAAGAGGGAAGTACAGGGAGGCCATGGCGAGCTGTCGTCAATTGTTGAGCCTCCTCTGTCCATACAATCTCCTTCGGGCCCTCAATGCCGGATCGAGCGGGCGCCACTGGTACGGGGGGTGAATACTCAAGGTGATAGCATGTGGTAGGCGATTGTACACGTGGCAGCTGATTGATTGTCTGTCTGTAGCGGATTTCATTCGCGGCCTCTTATTGCATATGTGGGCAGCTTGTTGTATACGTGGCAGCTGATAATACAGCCAACTTGTCGCATGTATGGCACCTAGTCGTCAGTCGAATACGTGAGAACGGAGTGGGCACGTGACAGCCACTTGAACTTGTGTGTTTGTCGGAAATGCGCATGGAGAGTGCGCCGACACATGGCGTGAGCTGTCAAGGTGAAAAGCATGGCTAACCAGTGGCCCCCGTCACTGGTACTCCCCGTCAGAAGCACGCGGCGATGCGGATGCATAACTCTAAACATATGAGCGTAGCAGCCGTTCGCATGGGAGGGGCATGTAATAAATAGTAATAATTGGTGGGAGCGATCAAGACACCAAGAGCGAGCGTCTTGGCTGAAAGCAAGCGAGGAATATTTTTTGTTTGTTTTCCGTTCGTCGTCGACGAAGCTCCGCGCTCTGAGTAACAAGTGAGCTTCGAGAACGACTCCATCGATCGGCCTGTCCACTGAACTTAGGAATAGTTAATCAATAGCCAGACAGCACATCACGAGCAGATGGACTTGAGTGGGTATCGACTGATTAACCAACCACTCGTTAGGAAGGCGTCTAACGGGCAATGAGGTGGACGTGAGTTGGCATGGAGTTGACATTGACTCATTTGCTCACTTGCAGACCGAGATAAATGGTCGGGCAATGGACTCCCTCTATGGCTGTCGCTGCTGAAATCATCTATGGCATGCCTGTGGAAGTTCTGAATTCACCCTGAAAAATTGTCCTCCGAGGTCATGTCTCCTGTCTGTCGCTGTTTATCAGCGGAAGCGTACTGAAGGAAATCATCTATGACTCCTGTTCTGTCGTTGTGTATCAGCGGAAGCGTACTGAAGGAATGACGAATTCTGTGCCCTTCGTTGCTCGAAATCTAGAGGATTTCTAGGCTCGCCTTACGTCCTTTTTGCGAGTTTAAGGTCGAGATCGCGCAAGAGGTCATCGCGAGAGAGAGAGAGAGAGAGAGAGAGAGAGAGAGATGGCGAGCTCGATGTATGAAAGGGCGATCGAGGAGATGCGGGACGTGGTTGGGGAAGATCCGACGGACACAGAGCTGATGCACTGCCTGCATCTGGCGAAGCTAGACGTGTACAAGGCGATCAATAATTACTTCGATATGCCAAAGAGTAGCAGCTTCATGTACAGCGCCGGAAGGAGGCAAGCAAGCGGAGGTAGTCAATATCGTCCCTCGCTTTCGCCATCGCCACAGAAGTACGATTACCTGCCCTCGCGTGCGTTAGTCTCTCCAACGCGACCGGTCAGCTTGTCGTCGCCTGGGAGAGAAAGCGGGCCGTCTGCCCAGAAGGCGCTGGTTTCTCCTCCTCGATCCGGGGGGGCCTATGGTGGCGGCGCCAATGGCGTGGCAGATCGACGGATAGGCAGCGGTCTTGACCTTCCGCGATCGCCGGGATACGAAGGAGCCGTACGATCTTCATCAGTCGGGACACTAGCGGATCTGACGGCAGCGCACCGTGCAGCAGCTCTCACGGGCAAGACGGGAGAGATAAGTGGGCCAGCGGTAAGACCAGCAGCAAGAGGAGGACGAGAAGGAGGAATAGGGTTGGGCTCAAGCGTGAAGGAACCGATAGTCGTTTCCTCCTCCCCTTCTTCCCCGAAACGGAAAGTTCCGAAATTGCCGTATGACGAAGATCCTGATGAATGGCTATTTTTCCGCGAAACCATCTTGTGTGGGTATTCTCTTTGTCGCGGCTCTAAGCTGGAGGGTGGAGAGGCGCTGACTTTCTCTTTTCCAAAGAACTGGACGCCCGCCAGTCAAGGAGGCTCGCAGGATTGGCGAAGAGGACGGCCGGCATTTCGCTCTGGGCAGAACGTGGAGATCGTGCGGTTTTCGACACATCGAGCAGGAGAGGTCTGATACTCCTCTTCACATCGTCAGCCTTTGGCCATTCTCCCCTTCCGCACTGTTACTAACTCGTCTCTTTGTGACCCTTTTCCTGAGTCTCCCCTTCGAGATCTTCTCTTCTTCTTCTTCTTCTTCTTCTTCTCTGACTCCTGTTTCGCCACATGGAGCAGGAGAGGAGAGTGGTACCCCACCTTTCTCGCTCTCCTTATGGTCGCTCTCCACTTGACACTCTCCCCGTGGTCAGTATCTCCTTGGCCACTCTCCCTTTGGTTACTCTCCCCTCGGGCACTCTCCCCTTGGTCATTCTCCCCTTGGTCACTCTCCCCTTGGTCCCTCCCCTGAGGGTCACACTCCCTTTGGTCACTTCCCTCTGTCGCTGTCCTCTTGGTCGCTCTCCCGTTACCCACTCTCCTTGGTCGCTCTCCACTTGGTTACTCCCCCCTCGGTCACTTTCCCTTGGTCATTATTCCCTGGGTCGCTCTTCCCTTGGTCACTCAACTCAGGGTCACACTCCCTTCGGTTACTTCCCTTTGGTCACTATCCCCCCCGTTGGTCGCTATCCCCTTGCCCAGTCTCCCCTCTTCACGTGGTCATTTCCCCTTGGTTTGTCTCCCCTTGGTTACTCTCTTCTTGGTCAGAACAGCTGGTCGTCACTCACGACATTCTTCCCTTGCCATCCCTCGTAATCTCTGCTTGTCAACATTTCTCAGCTCTCCTACGTAGGACACGTCCGTGTCTGCTCTGTCATTACGCTATCTGTTAGGCTTCAATTGGTGACTCTTGTCGCTTTCGTGAATCTTGTAAGTTGCCTGCTCTGCGGCTCCCATAACTTACCTGCTTGATAGACTTTTCCGGTTCGTAAACCCTCACCTCATCGCCTTTGATCAATAATCGCCTTCTTCTCCCTTCCCACACACTCTCTCTCCCTCTCTCTCGCTCTTTACCAGCTTTTATTTACAGCTATTCCGCGGCGTTCCCCTCCCTTGGCATCTCTTTTCTTGCGCTCTCTCCCTCTCAACCTCTCTTCTCTCCCACTTTGTCACTTTCTCTTCTCACCCTCGGTGTTCTCTCTCAATCTCTCTCTCCTCTTTTCTCTCCTCCTTCCATTTCTTTCTTCTTTCCCTCTACCCCCTCTTCCTCTCCCTTTTTCTTTCTCCTCTCTCCTCCACTCTCTTTCTCTCTCACTTTTCTCGGCTTGCCATTCCTGTATTCATGATCAGGTTCGACGTGTCCTTCATCCTTATCCCGAAAAACATCGATTGAAGGTTGGATTCGTTTGAGTCTCCCACAAGAATAGATCGATCCAAAGCCGTGCTATGTGATAGGAAAAAACGAATCTCCCACTTGAAGTTTGTTTTGTCTAGGTGGGTGGTTACAAGGTCTGTACCGCTGTCGCTCTTAGTCACCCAGGATGTGCGACAATGTTTGCCGCCCTCGGTTGCCCGTATTTCAAGTCCGCGATTGGATCCCACACTCTTCTACATCTGCTGCCGCACTGCGTTCGGCTTCATAATCCTCTCTCTCTCTCTCTCCCACTTAAGACTGCTTTGTTCTGTCTTTCCCCACTCTCTCACTCTACCACCCTCACTCCCTCTCCCCCTCTTTCCCCGATCTTGTCCCACTCGTCTGGGAAGTTTTGGTTTCACCCTCCTCATCCTCCTCACACTTCCTCGTTCAGCCGTCTTGGCGGTTGCTATCGGTTCTTACTCACCTTTTGCGCTGAGTGTCTTCCTTAATGGAAATCGTTTTTTTTTTGTTTCTCTTTTCTTTTTTCTTGCAAAAGAAACAAAGACCTGTTTCCGTGCGTCACTGAACCCTTGGGATGGCCTTTTTTTTTCTCTTCCTCCTCCTTTGGCACTAAGTGTCTCTCTTATTCTGGAGCTAGATGTCGTTTTCTCTTTCTTCTGCCTGTTCTTGCTTGTTAATGACAACCCTTCGGATGCTTTGTCTCTGTCGAGCCTCAACAGTCCACAACAGCACCATTACCTTGCCTCCTCTCTCTCTCATTCTCCCTCTCTTTCTTTCTCTCTCTCTCTTGATCTCTGCGAATTTCTGCGTTCTGGGTTAAGGAGCTCTCTCAACTCGGTCTTCACTTGCGCCTCTCTCAGATTTTCATCCTTGTTCTCTGCCTTAGCTTAATACGGTTGGTCTTCGGGCTGCTGACGTGTCATTGCCGTGAGCCAAGTGATTTATCTTTTCCGTCTTGTCGGTTACCTCTTCTTTGCTTTACGGATTTCTCCTGCAGATTGCCGATATTCATGTTCCAGGTTGATTATGGTAAACGGATATCGTCTCGTTCTCTGATCAATAAGCCCTCAAGCAGAGAGTAGCACAGGAGTAGATTCCATTTACAGGCCTGCGCAAATGTACGTGCACGTGTGTGTGTGTGTGTGTGTGTGTGTGTGTGAGTGTGTGTGTGTGTGTGAGTGTGTGTGAGAGAGAGAGAGAGAGAGAGAGAGAGAGAGAGAGAGAGAGAGAGAGAGAGAGAGAATGTATCCAAAGAGTGAGGGGGCTGACCCCTGTGGACGGTCGCTATTGACCCCTCCTCCGGAGACATCGTGAGGGTGCTGACTTTACCACCAACGGTCCACTGATGACTCCATCGTCCACTGAATGCGAGCATGCAAATAAAGAACGAAAAAAAACTAAAATTGAAAAGAGGGTGCCGCTGTCGTTCCCTTTTGTCTACACGCCTTTCGCTTTCTTTTCCTTCTTTCAGTTTACAAATGCGCTTTTTGTTAACAACAGCTGCGTGACAATCTAAGTATGCATGTACGTACGTATGTATGTATGTATGTATGTATGTATGTATGTGTATGCGTGTATGTATGCTTATGTTATTGATGTATGCATGTGGCTCTTATACATATGCATGTGCATGTATATGCAGCCCTTTCTATGCATATGTATGTACGGACGTACATTCACATGTGGTAGGTATGCATGCATGTGCATGCGTGTGTATGTTGAATGGCGCAGGACAGGCGTTGTCTATTTCTGTTCTGTTCTCTCTCTCTCCCTCTCTCTCCTCCTATCGGACTTGAACAAGTAACCTGTGGGAACAGATTGTAAGTCTGTGGTGTTTACCATTTGCACGTCGTGCCAGTCGTTTGCATCCTTTGGCTATTGTTTTCCCTCCTTCCTCCCTTTCCTCCTCTTTCCCAACCGTCCGTCGGTTTTTAGAATGTATGTGGGATTTTTCTGTGTGTGTTTGATTTGTGACGTCTGTGGTTGTCTCAGGTTGGGAGACTGCCGGCTGAGTGGGCCAAGTGCTTGGTTCCTCTGGTGGGCTCGAAAATGGTCTTGGTGGAGGGATCTTGCGTCTCCGCGCCACCTTACCTTTCAATCATGGACAACATCAACATTACTCTTAGGTGGGTGAACGAACCTACGTGCAATCTCCTTCAGCACTTTTCGTTCTTCTTCTTCAAAGCTCTTTTCTGAGGGAAAGCAACCCAGCAGCTTTCTGCTGCCGCTGATTCTGATTTGTTGCGTAGTATAGATATACTCGCATTTCTCCTGTCCAAATTTTTATTGCGTTGATGGATGACCGATCATACGTACACTGTCCTGTACATAGATTAGACGTACACCCTGTCTGTTGGTTATAGCCAATCTTTGCCCTCTTTGAACACGTTCACCTTGTCTGTTGCTTATCGCAAATCTTTGCACCATTGGATCGAATAACAGATGACCTGCGTAATAATTTTTGGACTGAATTGAGATGAAAATGGTGTAGCTGCCTAGGCTACCAGCCGGGCCGCCCGGGTCGCCGGGTGGGCAGCCCGTGCAAGGACCAGCGAAGGTCAAGTAAAAAAAAAAAACAAAAAAAAACCCGAAAAGAAACTATGTTATGCGGAAAAATAAATCAAACAACTTTTGCCTCAGAACCACATCCAAATTCGTCACCGAATTTAAGATAAAAAATAAAAAATAAAAATATTGTTTTTATTTTTAATTTTTAATTTTATTTTGGCCCGGGCGGGCAAGTGACCCCGGGCCACTCTGGTAGCCTAGGTAGCTGCGTAACTTTTGGGATTGGACTGGATAATCTTTGGGACTCACTGGATAGATGATGGGATGGGATAACTTTTTGGAATTGGACAGTCTTTTTTTTTTTTTTTTTTTTGGTTCTGTTTTATGTTATTTTAATGTGGACCATTTCTCAATTCATGCGTCTCATCCTTGCGCAGAGGGCATGTTAATGTTCTGTTCTCTGTCTTGTTCGAATTTCAAAGGATGCCGCGAAGATGATTGTTTGAATTTTCGGGATCGGATAACGTTAGAGATTTTGATAAATTTTGGGATTGGATAAGTTTTGGAATTTGATAAACTTCGGATAAGATAGATTTTGGGGCTGGATTAAAATTTGGCATTTGATAAAATTTGTGAGGTGAGAGAAAATATTTATAGCTGTCCCCCGATGAGGAGAAGACAGCTTTTTGAAAACAATAATTTGGAGTGGTGGAGAAGTTTTGGGATTTGGCGGATCGGGATCGAGTATCTTTTGGGATCTGATCAAAACCTGTGCTTTTTTTTTTCCCTTTTTTTTTGTAAGTAGGAATGTTTTGGGATGGGGATAATTTTTGGCAGTGGATAGATTCTCCGTATCGGGTGAATTTTGAGATTGTATAGATTTAGGGATCGGATAAGTTTAGGGGTTTTGAACGAAAGTCTTGTCGCGTGACTTCAATCAATCAATTGATTGATTGATTGATTGATTGATTGATAGATTGATTGATCTTGTGGAATGGGTAGGCTGTCTGGCTGGGTTGGGTTTGATGAACTTGGATCACAAACTGCACTGTTCGATAAGGAAACGAATAACTGTCGGAATAATATCTCAGCTTGGAGTACCTGATCGTGAAGACGGCGAAATGCATTTCGCAGATCCGCTGGCAGATTTGGGGGATCCGCTGACACATTTTGCACGGCCACTGCGTGCGGCTTTTTGGGAGTGCAGTGGACATTATAAGGGATCGGCTGCATGTTTTGGAAATCTAGCTAGGACTAGGAAGATGCAACGAAGATTCACTGACAGATGTTGGCAAGAAGACAACCATGAGGACAGGCTAATCGGACACATGACCAGGGCTGGGAAGATACCAAGAAAGATTCAGTTTGTCAACCAGCCAATCAATCAAATGGCAATCAATCAAATGGCAATCAATCAACCGGTCAATCAATATGTGCCACCTGAAGGGTAGATAAAGATCTGACGTGGCACAAGATCTAGCGGGCAACACAAGTCGAATGCTGGACGTAGCAAGATCTAATGAGGAATGCTCGCAGTGCAGGATATAGAGATTAATGGATGTGTCAAGTGACATGTCAACGTCCCGATCTGATGTGTGCGTGTGTGTGTGTGTGTGTGTGTGTGTGTGTGTGTGTGTGTGTGTGTGTGTGTGTGTGTGTGTGTGTGTGTGTGTTTCAGGATCTTTGTGAAGAAAGCGTTATTCAAAAATTCTGCAGTGCCCATGGGCAATGCAACAGCTGCTCTCAGCGACACCACAACTGGAAATCCGTTTTCATCACTGATGAAGTTGTTGAATTTGAGCCCAGTACAGAAGGTGAGATCATCGTAAATTGCTTCTTGTTATCTCCCCCCTCCCCCCTCTTTGAGAGTAGCGGCTTTTTTTGTTTTTTTCTTATTCTGTCATTAACGAGGAATGAGTTTATGGAAGGCTGATCCTTCATTGTATAAAAAGCTCGCCGTTGCTGGGTAAAGGTTAATGCCAAATGTGCCACTCCCCACCAAGGATCGAACGGTTGGCTTCATTTTTAACCGTCCTTGTCAGGAAGATCGTTCGGATGTGTCACCACTCTTGTTTGTTTTTGTTTCAGTTTCTTTTCATTATTTTTAATTTTTAACTCTTTTCTATCATCCTTGCGCAGTGGCCATGACAATTATTTTCTGCAGCTTCTCTATCGTTCCAATCCAACGGATGTTCCAAAGCAGTTGCTCATGTTCTTACCATTCCTCTTTTTGTAATTCTTGGTCTTGCAATCGGACTCGCTTTCTTTTCCACTTCGCATACATGCAAACAGATGGCGATTCACACTGGTGCAGGGCGCCCACTTAAAGCTCAGAGATATGGAAATCGAGAACGCAGTTCAGATGCAATTCACGTCAAAGGCTATGGCGCAACAGTGCCTGTACATGCCAACTCTCGTCACCACGTCCAACACCACTGTTCACACACACTCAACTCTTCTCAACTCTGGATCACCCTGAATACTCCCCCTCACACACACACACTAAGTCTATCTTCCTCTTACAGCGGCTATGGCCGCTCTACCCCTACTGACTATGGCTACGGTCTCGCTCTTCAGCCCACTTCGACTTCGGGCAATCAGCAGACCACCTTCGCACAAGCCATTGTAGCAGCGCTTCCGCATGGCTTACGCAGCGAATGAATGAATGGCTGGGCGCTGCCTCTTGATTTATACTTCTGTAACTCGTTGGTCTGCCCCCTTTCCACCGGGCCCATGGTGCGCACAGTCCCTCATGGTACTTGCTGACTGTGCAAAGTGAGACTGGGACTGAGGTACCGCTGACTCATCGAAGTTGGACTCCACCACTTGCCCACTTGCCTTTGCCTAAACGTGAGACACTTTTGAAAGGCCACGTCCGGACCTTCCGGAAGTCTGTGGACTTGGCCTTTCGAGTGCTGTAGCAGCTATGACCTTGACCTTTCAGGACTGTAGCAGCCACGACCTTGACCTCTCAGAACACCTACAGCTAGGACCTCTACAGAGTTGTGACCCCTACTCGACAAACCTACAGATCGAACCCCTACATCTACACAGACCTACGACAGACAACAACCAACTACCGAAACACAGGTCACGGGTTCAAACACTCGGAGGTCAACTCGATACTGTACATGGGTAAGGTGAGGTCTGGGGATCGAACTCTAGGGCCCGCATCGGTGACTGCAAAAAGGTGAAAACCGTTTCTTTCTAAGTATTCTGGTGTTTACCATTGTCGTTCGTACCTCTCTTTTATCTCCTCTCCCAATCGAAGAAAGGGCGACAGCCTTGAGGAGGTATCGTTGTAGAGCTTACTCGCCCCAGCAGGCAGGTAATTCAAGAGTTATTTCGTTCATCTGATGATGATTCTGATCCCAAAAGGATTCGAACTGAGGGCTGCTTATCAACATGCCAGGGAAGGTAGGTACCTACCTGCCGTTCCGCCACAGGAGTTGAGCGCCATTAAGTACCTTGTGCCATTCTTGTTTTTCTTATGTTGTCTTTATCGTTTTTGTTTTTACCGTTTTTGTTTTTACTGTTTTTCTTTGTACCACTCTCGTTTGTGAAACTTTTCCCCATTATTGTTTATTTTCTCTCTCTCTGTGTCTCTCCTCTTTATCTCTCTCTTTCTGTGTGTGTGTGTGTCTCTCTCTCTCTCTCTCACTCTCTCCAAGTAACTTTCTTTTCCATTTTCGTTTTTACCATTCTTTTATTACCGTGTTCGTTTTTGCCATTTTTGTTTCGACCATTCTTGTCAGGAGAAGACCTGTCGGGAAGGTTTGCATTGAATTCGGCGGGATGAAATATCTCGCACATTTTCTGTGCTCAGAAAAGGCATGAACGTTCTTCTTTGAGTCGGATGACACACATTAATTGAGATATCGTCTCTTTCCTTTTCCGTTTTGCTTGAAAGATGAGTTGATAACAAAGGGTTAACTACATCTGAAATCTGTGTGAGTGAAGTGTATGGGTTTTGGATCTCGTCCATTTTGGAATGTGTGAAAGCAACAATCAATAACGGGTAGCTGTCTTCTGTGGCCGGGACGGTTATGTTCTTGGGGATTGGCTTTTGTAAATTGCCAGGCAGAGTTCACACCAGAAGACTTCTATAGTAGGAAAAGGTCACTTGCGTTGGATTTGGCAACTCCAGGACAGGTATGATGATTATCTTGGTGCAGGATCCCTTCCTCCCTCCCCCCTTCCCTCCTTTCTTCCCTCCCTCCCTCCTTCCCCCCTTCCCTCCCTCTCTCCCTCTCCCCCTCCCTTCGTCCCTCCCTCCCTCTGTCCCTCCCTCTGTTGGAACGCCCTGGATCGTCTCCACCCAGTTCGAATTTGTGCCGAGCGTTGCCTTTTGTGGCATGGATACATTCACATAATCAGTATTGGACACTTACATAGCGGCATTTTGACCTCTTTACGTACAGCACCACCATTCAACCATTGTTAGTATGGATTGCAACTTGGTACGGCTTCTTCCTCCCCTCATTTCCCTTCTCCTCTTGCAGTGTTGGTGGCCCTATCCACCAATGAGGTACCGGTGACCCCCTTGTTGGTACCAGTGACGATCTCAGTGGTGTTGCTAGATAGTCAATGCCAGGAAAAGTCTGGGTTGGTTTCAGATGCAGGGACAGCACTTGTAGACCACCAAACACGAACTTTGCATCATTGCTTTGTCGAGTAGTTTTCAACTAGTGTGAGTGTGCGTGGGTTCAACGACAGAAAGTCTGCAAACTGGAATTTCGTTTGGTGCATAGAAGATGGCAAGACCAGGTTAACATCGGATTCTCAGCAGGTCTTAGCGTCAAACTGGGAACTGATAGGGTCTCTCTGGCCTGAGCAAAGCATTATAACCCACCACCAGGTCTTCTGGCACTGCATCTGGGCGTAATTGTGCGAAGATACGTCTATCAGAATCTTGAAGGGGTATCCCCTGATAAATCTTTCCTGTCTTTCTTCTCTGTCGTTGAGGCTACCGGTCTGTGTCCTGAGCAGTACATAAATGAGGTTTGTAGTGTCTACATCTGTATTAAGCACCAGAGGTAGCAAAGTAAATGGCATCAAGAAGTCACCCAAGGTCCGGCCTAGGCCAGTTATAATTTTCAGTTGGATGTGTCGGGCACGTCCACGTCTATCATTGGCTTCAGGTTGGGATGGTACCGAGGATCTCATCCATGTAGATTGTGGGATTGTACCTGCTCCTCTTGCAGACATGTAAGACGAAGCAATCCTCGTACTGCCGATGATGTGTAAGCCATATGACATGGATGAGGAGGAAGGAGGAAGAGGGGTGGAAAAGAAACAAGATGGTGATGACAATTCTGCTGATGATGATACAAGATGATGACGTTGAACAAGAAGATGACAGCAACAAGTTTCTTCCAGGACAAGACGTTGACATCAACGGAGATGAAGACGATGGTGGTGATGTCGTCTATAAGAATCAGCAGCAGCTGCAGGGAAAGAGGAAGAAGAAGAAGGTTGTATGATGGTGGTGGAAGAAGATGAAGATGGACATGGCGATGATGACGATGGCGACCATGATGATGACCATTAGGAAGAGGAGGAACGGAACTACAAAAATGACAGCGGTGGGGGAGGAGGACGTGCAGGAGACCGAGGAGAAGCAGCAGCAGCAGCAGCAGCAGATGATGATGATGATGATAATGATGATGGTGGTGACGGTGGTGACGGTGGTGTTGATGGCGAGAAGAAGAAGAAGAAGAAGAAGAAGAAGAGAGGACAGCGGAGTGGTGGGGAGGAGGAGCGAGGAGCAGCTGCAGCTAGGAGGAGGACCGGGGAGAGCTAGTAAGAAGTAAGAATCTTTTCTTCTAGAAAGTAAAGGAATAGTGCATCATCGCACCACGAGGGGTCAAATGCGGAGTAGCGGTAGCAGTATTCGAAGAATAAAGAGTGTGAATGTCAGACGAAATAAGTGCAGCATGTGAAAAGTTCCACCATGTCATGAGAGTGTGAGGATCGAATGCTGTGTAAAAGGATGACACGAAAATGGATGAGGCGCAGGGGGAGGACAAGGTAAGACAGCTTCTGAGAAGAGAGATAGATATCCTGAGAGGATTGAGTCGGGGGCAGGTAGAGCAGGAGGGGACAGGGAGGCAGAAGCCACTGGCCGGGGAAGGGAGGGGGAGAGCGCGTGCGCGCGCGCGCACGTGTGTGTGTGTGTGTGTGTGTGTGTGTGTGTGTGTGTGTGAGAGAGAGAGAGAGAGAGAGAGAGAGAGAGAGAG